CCCCCACAAAAAAAAAAAAAAAGAAGAAAAAGGGGAAAGAGAAGAACATTACTGAAACAGCTTTTAAGATCCATCTCTTTTCATGAAGTACTAAATATCTTTTATCATTCCAAGAGGTTTAAATTTAATTTAAAGGCCAAACGAAACAAGGGTTACACTTCAAAGTTCAAACCCATGAAAAGGTGTCTGGTTGGAAGAAAAATCTGCCCAAAGCAGATGATTTATCTTCATTCTAAAATACAATAGTTGATACAGAAGTTGAAAGACTTTAGCAGTACTGATGAAGCAACCAGTTTCAGCTTCACAAATAAGTCAGAAACTTGCTAAAAGTTTCTTAGCAATTGAATAAACAACCACAACTGTGACAGCATGTGTCAGCTTGTGTCTAGTGGAAAACAGAACAGCATAAAAACAGAAACCCGCAGCACGACAAAAGTATTCCCGGACCAGTTTAATGGAAGATCAGATTCCACTCGTTAGAAATGCATTTATGACTTTCACAATCATTAGTTAAATTACATTAAGAGCGTTTAAGCATCAATTACCTGTGCCTCACACTCTTGTTCAACAGCTTTACCTGCAGCAGCTTCTTGCTGTGCAGCGACTTTCCACCGTGTAATTTCTTCTTCAGCAGCAGTGATGTCCATCATAAGCCCTTCAACCTACAATGAGAGAGTTATTTGTAAGATAACAAGAAAAAAATGATTACATATGCATATGAGCTTTCCAGAATTCTCGTACGCAAACCTCCACAAATGACATCAAACTCTATGAACCAAATACCAGTATCATGAAATAATATATTGAGATTTGGCAGTGCATTACATTTTCATTTGCCACCCTCTCCTTCTCTTCAAGTTCCTCCACACGTTGCTTCCATTGACTGAGTTCCTTCACTTGAGTTTCCACATGTTCCTTCAATAAACTTGACTCTGCCCTTTGATTTAGTATAGCAAAATGATAAAACAACAAAAGTCAGGATAAGGATAGGCTAAGTCATACTCGAGTGTTTCTAGAAGAGAAAAAGAAGACAAAGGGGCCATGCATCAGATCCGCTCGCTCAAGCCGAGTAGCATCACATAGTGAAGAAATGCGGCTCAAAAAACAGTTAACCCAATATAAGCTTGAACAGGAGGTACCTTAGCTCTTCCACAGTATGTTTTAGGTCAATGATCTCAACCTGAGACTGCCTAATTATGTTTTCTAATGCACCAGCCTACATCAAGAACATCAATTAGTTAATAAAATAGCAAGAAGCTTTGAATACGAATTAGTACCAAAAAGACTTACCAAAGCATATACTTCATCCTCTTCTGTATTTGCTGCATCCTTTTTAATATCAGAAGCAGGGATCTTGCCATCGCCAACGCGATTATTAAACTTGTAATTTATCCCAGCTTCTCTCAATCCATTTTCCGCTATCTTAAACAATTCATTTGTTTTGGATGATAAATCCACTGAAATTCTCTTTGAAAGAGCACTTTTCAGTAAAGACCCAATTTGTTCTTTTTCTTTTACTAACTGAGAAACTGACTCATTTAGGTTTTTCACTTCACGACTCCTCTCCTCTAGCAAATCCCTCGTTTTATGGACAACGAATTCACTCATTTCATAAATAGATTCCAACCCCGCTAAAACTGCCCTTATATTCTCTTCCATGTCCATCTCTTGCGCAAGAAACAAGGATTCCGACAACTCAGATGCCTTCCTCGCATCAACAACCTTAACAGCATTATAAATCTGTTCGTGTATATTCCCAACATATTTCAGTTGCTCAGCAAGTAATGGTCTTTGCATTTCCAGCTTTGTTTCTGAACTGCTTAACCTACCCTCGTATTCACTCACCAAATCCCTCAATCCAACCACTTCACTCTCCAATGCATTTTGCTTCTCACGCATCACTCCTTCCAACTCCGATAGTTTCTCATCTTTTTCACTTACAGATTTCTCTAAACTGTCGACAACTGAAGCTTTCTTCGCAACCTCCTCTCTCAAACCACTAATCTTCGCCTCTAACTCTGAAACTTCAATAGCAATTTCATAATTCCTGTGTTCCATTTGTTCCCGTGCCTCGTTCCTTGACTTTGTTGTTGATTCAATCTGTCTTAAAAGCTCCTCTACAATCTCATTCGTCCGTTTGATCACGCCATAAGAGACAGCTGGCAATCCTGTGTATTTCGGTGACCTAGGTAATCCACCAGCTACAAAATTCTTAAATTGACTAACTTTTCCAGATATTTTATCAATTCCACTAACTAACATTGAACCAGAAGTTTCCATTTCAGTTCTCATTGATTCTTTCGCTTTATTCACTTCCTCTAACTGCTTAGCAAAATCATCTTTCTGCTTAATTGCTTCTTTTAGTTCATCCGTTACCTTCTCGACTGTTTTAATAACTTCTTCCTTTTCCCGTAATGCTTCATCGCGTTGTCTCGAGTGCTCATCGCGCTTTTTGATTGCTTCATGAGCGAGAACTCTCAATCTGTTAAACGAAACTTGCAATTCCGATTTAGAATTCTCTGCGGCTAATCGAGCTTGCCGCTCTCGATCCAGCTCCGCAAGAATCTCATGGAATTTCTCAATTGAGACATCTTCCGGTGGCTGAGAATTTATATCAATAGGTAGCGGATCATCCGCCTCGACGTCGCTCAGTACAGCGTCGTTGTCTTCCTCACCGGCGCTCGCCATGAATAAATCGCAAAATTTTACAATCTAAAACTTTGACATGACTAGTTACTTACGAATTGCTGCATCAATTCGATAATTCAAAATCCTCAAACCCTAGAATTAAGATAAAGCTGAAGTCAACTAAGTGTAAAACAAAAGGAAAGCGATATCGAAGATATGGTGATCGCCGGAGATTACGTCGAAAGGAGTGGATTTTGTATATTGTAAGGATAATCGGGGATTGATGATCGGCGAGATTTTAGTTCGGAGAAATTAAGTGCAGTAAATGAAAAGAATGAAAGCTTGGGGGTTCAATTATGCCACCAGCTAGTTCTTGTTCTTGTTGGTTTTTTTTTTTTGGTTTTTACTTTTTTTTTTTATTTCTTTTGTATGTTGGGTTTTTAATTCAGTTTTCTTTTATGTTTCCCGAAAACCGGAAGGAAAAAATGTGACTCGTGCACTTGGTGTCTTTTGGCTTTTACGGTCGGAAAAGGAAAAACATGTGAGGAGGAAGCTTCCTTTTTTTTTTTTGTAATAAAAAAAAGTTAAATATATTGTTGTCTTGGTTATGTAATTACTAAGATAGTAATTAATCGCTCTGATAATTATACACTAGTATAGTAATTATCTTTGTTATTTGCCAGAGCGTAACTGTAATGTAATTCTCACTGTCACGTTTGGTTGGATAAATATAATTACATAGTTAAATATATTTTTTCCAGATTAACCTATTGAAATATATTAAATTATTAAGAAATGAGAACAAAATAGAACAATATACTAATTGAGACAAAATAAATATGAGGGAGAATATTTTGTTATTTATTTTCTTGGTATATCATTCATAGGGTCAAAAGTTCCCTATTTATAAAGGTACAAATTCATTCACTAGTTATAAGTTAATGTACTTCTTAATTGAGTACATGAATACAAAGTACGTTAAATGGACATACAAATGCATTTACCTCACTCACATGCATTCATCTCATTTATAACACTCCCCCTTGGATGTCCATTTAAAAGATAATGTGCCTCGTTAAAACCTTACTAGGAAAACCCTCTTAATTGAGTACATGAATACAAAGTACGTTAAATGGACATACAAATGCATTTACCTCACTCACATGCATTCATCTCATTTATAACACTCCCCCTTGGATGTCAATTTAAAAGATAATGTGCCTCGTTAAAACTTTACTAGGAAAACCCAATGGGAAAAAGCCTAGTGAAGGAAAAAGAGTATACATATCTTGTAATACGCATTGAGTGCTGCCTCATTAGAAACCTTACCAGGAAAACCCATTTGGGACAAAACCTTGGTTAAGGGAAAAAGAGTACATCGCGTATTATACTCCCCCTGATGAAAGCTTTATTTGATATCTCGGAGACGACGCATTCCAATTTTATGTCTCAGCTTCTCAAATGTTGATGTTGTCAATGCCTTAGTGAACAAATCTGCTAGATTGTCACTTGAACAGATTTGTTGAACATTTATCTCACCATTTTGCTGAAGATCGTGTGTGAAAAAGAACTTTGGTGAAATGTGCTTTGTTCTGTCTCCTTTGATATATCCTCGTTTAAGTTGAGCTATGCAAGCAGCATTGTCTTCATACAATATCGTTGGAATCTTCGTTTTTAAAGAAAGACCACACAATTATTGAATATGTTGAGTCACTGATCTCAACCATACACATTCTCGACTAGCTTCATGAATAGCTATTATCTCTGCATGATTGGAAGATGTAGCCGCTAAAGTTTGTTTTGTTGAACGCCATGAAATAGTTGTACCCCTACAAGTAAATAGATAGCCTGTTTAAGATCGGGCTTTATGTGGGTCAGACAAATAACCTGCATCTGCATAACCAATCAACTGTGAATCGGATTCATAAGAATAAAATAATCCCATATCAATAGTCCCTCGGAGGTATCTAAAAATATGCTTAACACCATTCCAGTGTCTTGTTGTTGGAAAGGAACTAAACCTTGCTAATAAACTTACTACAAAAGTTATATCTGGTCGAGTATTATTTGCGAGATACATTAGTGCCCCAATTGCACTAATATGGAGTTTCATCACCAAGAAGCTCTCCATCATTTTCATGAGGTTGGAATGGATCTTTATTTATATCGAGTGATCTCACAATCATCGGGGTACTCAATGGATGTGCTTTATCCATATAAAAACGCTTTAGGATCTTTTCGGTATAAGTTGATTGATGGACAAAAATTCCATCTTTCATATGCTCAATTTGTAGACCAAGACAAAATTTTGTCTTTCCAAGATCTTTCATTTCAAACTCTTTCTTCAAACAGTCTACTGCTTTTGGAAGTTCCCCAGGAGTTCCAATGATATTTAGATCATCAACATACACAGCGATTATAACAAATTCATATCCAGACCTTCTTATAAATACACAGGGACAAATTGGATCATTCTTATACCCTTCTTTCAGCAAATACTCACTCAGACGATTATACCACATTCGCCCTGATTGTTTCAATCCGTATAAGGATTTTTGAAGCTTTATTGAACAAGCTTCCCGAAAATTTTTATTAGTTTCAGGAACTTTAAGCCCTTCGGGGATTTTCATATAAATTTCATTATCTAATGTGCCATACAAATAGGCTGTGACTACATCCATTAGACGCATATCAAGTTTTTCATGGACTGCCAAATTTATAAGATACCTGAAAGTGATTGCATCCACCACAGGAGAATATGTCTCCATATAATCAATGCCAGATCTTTGCGAAAATCCTTGTGCCATAAGTCGTGCTTTATATCTGACGATTTCATTTTTATCATTTCGTCTTCGCACAAAAACCAATTTGTATCCCACTGGCTTTATTCCTTCAGGTGTTCGGACTATACGTCCGAATACTTTACGTTTTTCAAGTGATGCTAATTCTGCCTGGATAGCTTCTTTCCATTCTGGCCAATCATTTCTCTGTCTACATTCATCGACAGATCTTGGTTCAAGATCATCATCTTGTTACATTATTTCAACAGCAACATTATAAGCAAAAATGTTGTCGACAATAATATTATTTCGGTTCCACCTTTTTGCCGTAGAGACATAACTTATTGAGATCTCTTCATTCTTATTATTTTCAGGTACCTGGACCTCCTCTGAGGTCTTATCATTTGTTATGTCACAAGGCTCTTTTTGAGCAATTGCCTCCATATTATAATCTCCTAGATCATTTGCTCCTTTTCGCTTTCTATGATTTTTATCTTTGGAACCAATTGGTCTACCACGTTTCAAGCGTGTCTTAGACTCATTTGTATTTATAGATTGTCCAACCGGGACATCAATTCGAATAGGAGCACTAGCAGCTGGAATATGTGATTTAGTCAACCTTGGTAGGTTAGTGAATGCATCTGGCAGTTGATTTGCAATATTTTGCAAATAAATTATATTTTGAACCTCATGTTCACATTGCTTTGTTCCAGGATCTAAATGAGATAGTGATATTGCATTCCAATCTATCTCTTTTTGCAATTGCTTATTTTCTCCCCCTAATATTGGGTATACTGATTCATCAAAATGGCAATCATCAAATCTTGCCGTAAATAAATCTCCAGTCATAGGTTTCAAATATTTTATAATAGAAGGAGATCATACCCAACATATATCCCCAATCTTCTTTGGGGTCCCATCTTTGTACGTTGTGGTGGAGCAGTTGGAACATATACTGCACATCCAAATATTCTAAGATGGGAAATATTTGGCTCCTGACCAAAAGCCAATTGTATTGGGGAGACTTCATGATAACTTGTAGGTCTGATCCGCACAAGAGCTGCTGCATGCAAAATAGCATGGCCCCATACTAAAATGAGAAGTTTTGTTCTCATAAGCATTGGTCTAGCAATTAATTGGAGGCGTTTGATCAATGATTCTGCTAGACCATTTTGAGTATGAACATGAGTAACTGGATGCTCAATTCTTATCCCACTTGATATGCAATAATCGTTAAAGGCCTGGGACGTAAATTCACCAGCATTATCAAGACGAAGTGTCTTAATTGCATAATCTGAAAACTGTGCTCTTAATCTTATTAATTGAGCTAGTAACCTCGCAATATTACGGGTTGATTACAAGCACACATGTGACCATCTTGTAGATGCATCTATCAAAACCATATAATATCTGAATGGTCCACATGAAGGATGTATGTGCCCACATATATCACCCTGTATACGTTCCAAAAATGCAGGGGATTCAGCTCCAACTTTAATTACTGATGGTCTAATAACCGGTTTTCCTTGAGAACATGCAACACAAGAGAATTCTTTAGTTTGAAGAATCTTCTGGTTCTTCAATGAATGACCATGTGAATTCTCAATTATTTTGCGCATCATACTATAATCGGGATGGCCCAACCGGTCATGCCAAATAATAAAATCATTAGTAAACTTCTTGTTTACTATGGCATGTGATTCAACTACACTAATATTAGTGTAGTATAATCCGGAGGAAAATGCGGGAAGCTTTTCAAGTACATACTTCTTTTCCGCTTTTATTGTAGTAATATAAAGGTATTTGTCACGACCCGAATTTCCCACCCTCGGGAGTCGTGATGGCGCCTACTATTAGGAGCTAGGCAAGCCAATTAGTTATTATCTCTCTTAGCAAACCTCGACATTTAATAAAAACAATGAAACATTTAATAGAAAAGCGGAATTCTTAAAATTAAATAAACTGAAAGCAATGCGGAAGTTCAATACCACTCTACCCAAGGACTGGAGTCACAAACTCACGAACGTCTAGAGAATGCTAAATACAATGTCTGAATAAAAACATAGTTTTGTTTGTTCCGGTACAAAGGATAACAAACTAAAGTAAAGATAGAAGAAACTCCGGGCCTGCGGACGTCAGCAAGGCTACCTCGATGTCTCTGGACTGAAGTCAGCTCCCAAATCTACTATTGCTGTCCAAAAGCTGCTCCGGCACCGTGATCTGTGCAAAAAGATGCACGGAGTGTAGCATCAGCACAACCGACCCCATGTGCTGGTAAGTGCCTGGCCTAACCCCGGCGAAGTAGTGACGAGGCTAGACCGGGCTACCAAACAAACCTGTGCAGTTCAATATATATGTATGCAATATAAAGGTATACAGAAATTAACCAGTCGAGGGGGAGGGGGAGCATGCTGTAGGGGTTGTAACAGTTCAGGTATAAAATTAATAATTAAGGAATGAAACAGTACAACTACAATAGCAACGATAGTAGGAAATCAACAGTTGCACGGCACCACCCTTCGTGCTTTTACTCTCGTTCTCACCAAAACAATCATATAAAGTGCTCGGCATCACCCTTCGTGCTTTACCTCACAAAATGATGACACGGAATGATCCTTCGTGC